AGAGGGCTGCCTGGCTATGCCGCTCATTAACGACATGACCTTGGCCTAGTCTTCCCACTTGAGCCTTGACATTCTCAACTACAAATGAGGGCTTTAGACCAAGTACCCTTGAATATATAATTTGTTTCTGTCTATGAATCCATGGGGTATAAATATTTGCCACTCCTTCCATGCTACTGTGAAAGAAGCATTATCTTTAGGCATTAACTCAGCTCATGCAATAATGATGCCTTATATTTGACAGAAATTTATCATTTACAAAGCACTTTCATTTACATTATCTCATTTGATTTTAATCAGTCATGTAAGGTATTTAAGATAGTTAAATATTTTTTTTTTTTTTTACATCTGACATAATGTGAAACTTGCCCAAGGTCACAAAGAGACAGAAAAGGGAATGAATGACACGTGTCTGTGCTGTTCTGATTATAGGTGGCACAATGAATCAGATAGGCTCTCTATCATGTGGGAGTGAAGCAATTTTTTTTAGTTTACTCCCTAGAATAGCGGTCACTACTTTAGAAAAAAATGTTAATGACAGTTTTGACAATGTTGAAAGGTAAAGAATCTTTTTTGTATGAAGTTCTTTAGTAGTAAGGATCAGAAACATAGGTCAACTCACCTGGGGAAGAGGAACATTGTAGGAATTAGCAATCTCATGGACAGGGGATACTGCACTCCTCATAGTAATTGGGAAATAATCTCTAGGCATTTCTTCCTAGGACTTAATTGTTTGTCTGCTTTTCTTGGAACTCCCAAGACTGCTCTCTCTTATCTGAAGAGCAGCTTCCTCTGCTTACTCATGGTTCTTGTTTCCCTATAACCATGGCTCTCACATGGCTTAGCTTGCTGGGACCAGGTCTGGCCCGCTGACTACAAGATGTGCCTGATCCATCACTCACCATAGGCTACAGTCAATCTCTTCCTCTTTTCGCTCCTGGGGTCCAATCTGCTGGGGCTGGTGGGGATGGGGCAAGAAGGAGTCATGTGACACCCCCATCAAGTTCTACCTTGCAATGAACTGAATGTTTGCGTCCCCTCCAAAATTCAGTTGAAACCCTAATTCCTAATGTGCTAGTATTAGGAGATGGAGTCTTTGGGAGATAACTAGGGTTAACTGAGATCATGAAGGGGGAGCCTCCATGATGGCATTAGTGTTCTCATAAGAAGAGGAAGGAAGACCAAAGCTCTTTCTTTCTCCACCATGTGAGAATTCAGTGAGAATTCATTTGCAAGCCAGGAAGAGAGCCCTCTCCAGAACTTGACCATGACGGCACCCTAATGTCAGACTTTGTAGCCTCCAGTGGTGTGAAAAACAAATGTCTGCTGTTGAAGTCATCCAGTCTATGGTATTTTGGCCAGTCTGAATTGACTAAGACAAACCTCTATATGAGGATTTATGAACAGGTTCCTAGACAAGGGAGTTTGCAAATTGAAGAGACACCCCAAAACATACCTACTACCCCTCCTTTTTTATTTAAGTTTCACAGGATCATCTTGGTTCTCCTTTTCTTAGGTGCCTCCAATCTTCTAAGTATAACTTATTCTCTGACAATTCTCTGACAGAGTAAGTAGTTATTCTCTGACAATTAAGGAGAAACAAAAACAAAACCAAAAAAAAAGAAAAAAAGAAGACAAAACACCCCCATTTGTCCCTGAAATTTAAAATATGAAGGGTGGTTCCATCATTTTCTGATTGTAGGGTCAAAAAATGAACAAGCAACTAGACTAGCAATCGAATACCTTTAGATCCCAAACTTCATCTTATCACTGGTTTCTGGATGGATTATTTATTGCCCTTGAAATTCAGCGGAATGTGGCTGGGTGCGGTGGCTCACACCTGTAATTCCAGCACTTTGGGAGGCTGAGGTGGGTGGATCACCTGAGGTCAGCAGTTCCAGACCAGCCTGACCAACATGGAGAAATCCCGTCTCTACTAAAAATACAAAATTAGCCGAGCGGGGTGGCGCATGCCTGTAATCCCAGATACTTGGGAGGCTGAGGCAGGAGAATCGCTTGAACCTGGGAGGCGGAGGTTGCAATGAGCCAAGATTGCGCCATTGCACTCCAGCCTGGACAGCAAGAGCGACACTCTGTCTCAAAACAAAACAAAACAATAAAAGAAATTCAGCGGAATGAGGAATCTTAAAAACCTAAAAGCTAGAAGGGGTTTTATTGGATTATCTAATCTCTGGATTTTACAGCAAAAGACATTGACATTGGGCCTTAGGTCACAGAATGACTAGAGGTAGAATCAGTGGAATATTTCTCCTAACACAACGTTTGCGATCTTTTCATTACATCATCTAAGCAGAGCCTGTAGGGGTTAACTCTGAGAACTGGGGATGATGCTTGTGATAATGCAGCATAAAGTAATGTCTAAATGTAAGCTATGATTCTAAGATGGGAACACAGAATGGGGATGGAAGACAGGAATCTTCACCATGTATGAATGTACAGGAAACAACCAATAAATGCCTTTATTCTTGTTCTGTAAAAACTTACATGTAAATAAAAGATCCCCGAAATCGATCTGAACTCTGTTATTGCCACAAACTTTTATCAGAAAAATGGAGATTAGGATGTTCCCACTGCCAGATGGTATAGGAATATGGTTGAATGTGGACTATGATCACAGACGGGTTTCAACGGTGGGCTCTGTCACTCAATATAGTTGTGTGACAGTTAGGCAAGTTTGTACCACTTAGAAAACTTCTTCCCTGGGTCAAGCAACCCAATTTTACTTGCTTCTGTTGCCCAATATACAAAATAGGGTAGTAACACACACTCCATAGGGTTATTCTTAGGCTTAAAGTAACCAATATTTGTGAAATTATAAGAACAGTGTTTGGCACATAGTAAACATATTATATGTGTTACCTGTCGTTATTGTTACTTGCTTTTCTGTTGCAAGGACTAAAAGCTATTCTTCTGGAGTAGGGAAATTTCCATTTAAAATTCCACTGGCTAGGTTAGAGGTTTCAGTTGATTTAGCAATGAATTAGCCATGGAAAGGAATTATTCCTTTCACGGTGGCTTCATCTTTATCGGTATCCACTACAAAATTCATAAAGTGGGCATTATGTGCTTTTCACAGACCAGAAAACTGGCTAGAGAAGGTAACTGCTTGGCCACAAGCAGTTAGTTGAGCCAGTCGTGGCTAATGGTACAAACTACATTTGAGTCTACAAAGCAACAGATGAAAGTCTTCTCCAAGTGAAGACTTTCTGGACTTAGAAAGTCCTCACAATTCCATGGACCTGTAAGAAGATAGGGTGGAGTTCATCCCTCTTTCAGCCTAGGACCAACTTGGCTCAGAGGCCTTTTCCCATACCGCCCAAGGCTCCCTGAGAAATCCGGCTCCACAAAGTGAGAGAATCCGGGGTAGGGCTTGCTGTGAGGAAGGTCGGCCCAGTCCTTCCCGAGCCTTCCTCAGGGAGACCTGGGGGGATCTCACTTCCCTGCAGAAGTCTGTGGAGTTTAATTTGTAAATTTATGCCGAAACTACACTTTTGTGTTAAAGAGCAAGGACGGCCAAGAAGCGGCAACACGAATAAGAGCGCAGGGAAATGGGGCCTGCGAACGACCTCGGCCTCGGGAACTCCCGCAGTGCCGCCCCACGCGCGACGCCCACCCGAGGACAGCCACCCGCCTCCGCTCCTGGAGGAGGCGTGGTCGACGCGTACCGCCATCTTGGACGCCTTTCTAGGAGCTCTGTTTACCACTCTATGGTCGCCCGCTCCCGCCCCGCCCCTTCCCAGTCATTGTCTGGAGGAGCAGCCGCGGCCGCAGCTCCTTCTCTTTATAAGCCCGCAGTTCCCGGATGTGAATGGATTACAATGTATCTTTCAGGGAAACCTATTATTATCAATGTGACTCCACGGGGGAGTCCATGGTGATGATGATGAGGAGGAGGATGATGATGATGAGACACCTCTAAACTTGGAACAAGTTTAATACTTGAGAGAAGAAGAAAAAAAATCACCAACAAGATTTGTTTGAGGAAAAATTATAACTATCCTGTGTTGATTTTTGTTTTTTATAAACAATAAGAAAAAGTTGTTGGATTTTTTTTTTAATGATTTCTTTTTTGGGGGAGGGAATTTTGTTGCAGTTTTATGGTGGAAAATGCAAAAACCAGAGCCAGGTGCATAATCTTGTAATCTGTGGATATCCCTGGAGCAGGACTGAGTACCAGTTAAAATACTTTTTGGGGATACACATGTGAGATACTAAGTACTTGCAGAAGATTTTTGTCTATCTTTTTAAAGTCTCTTTCCTTGGAATATTGTGAGAATATTTGTGGCCATTTAAGGTAACGTTTCAATTTGCCGTCAGAGTAAACTGTTTGTAATTGAATTTAATTTTTAAAATGTCGATCCCGATGTTTTATTAAAACAAAAGGGACAACCTATTAAATAATTGCCAATGGGAAAAAGTGTGTGCATGCATTTTGTGTATGTACTCGCACATCTAGCAATACCAGGGTTTGTAGAATGTGTTTTTTTTTTTTTTTTTTTCCAAACACACGTTAAAATAGCGTATGTTGCATATACCGGATAAAGCACGCTTGTTATTACAAAACGATAGAATTATGAAGCTTAAATTTTATCCTAAAAAGTGATGTGAAAAAGTATGTTTTAAGAGCATGAAGGGCCTATAATGGTAAATGTTGAATTAAAAACTTACAGTGTTGGCGAACAGGGACTTAGCGTGCCTAGGAACTCAAGTGCAAAAACAAAACAACATCCACCCCCAAAAATTGTCCTTTTTTTTTTTTCCCCCGAAGTTTGCAGTTATACTATTCTGTGACTTAAAAGGGAGGGGAAAGAAAGTGTGCAATTCAGATTTCGCCCCCAACGCAAAACTACCGAAACGAAAATCTCCCCAGGAAAATGTGGCTTGATTTATAGACGAAAAAGAAAAATATTGTTCCTCTTGGCAAAGTCTTTTTGCATCACGTGTATTTGCAGCCTAGTATAAACTTGCTTTGCCGTGTGTGGATGTGTGAGTGAGAGGGAACGAGAGTAAGAGAAAGAAAGAAGTGAAGGGATGTAAACTCGAATAAATTTCAAAGTGCCTCCGAGGGATGCAACGGGCAAAAACTGAACTGTTCAGGCTTCAGATTGTAACTGACGATCTGAGGAAAAATGAGGTGCTCGATGAATTTTCGTTTGTATTTTTTGGCGAGGCGGGGGAGGTGTTGAGATTTTTTTTTTTTTTTTCCCTTGGGGTGGGTGCGAGGGGGATGCATCCTAGCCTGCCCGACCCGGAGCAAGTCGCGTCTCCCCGCCGGAGCCCCCCCACCCATTTCTTTGCTGAACTTGCAATTCCGTGCGCCTCGGCGTGTTTCCCCCTCCCCCCTTCCCTCCGTCCCCTCCCCTCCCCGGAGAAGAGAGTTGGTGTTAAGAGTCAGGGATCTTGGCTGTGTGTCTGCGGATCTGTAGTGGCGGCGGCGGCGGCGGCGGCGGCGGGGAGGCAGCAGGCGCGGGAGCGGGCGCAGGAGCAGGCGGCGGCGGTGGCGGCGGCGGTTAGACATGAACGCCGCCTCGGCGCCGGCGGTGCACGGAGAGCCCCTTCTCGCGCGCGGGCGGTAGGTACCGGCGCCGGCGGGGCTCGGCGGGGCGGAGGCGCCCGGCGGCGCGGGGCTCGGGCTCGGCGGCCCCGCACGCGGCTCCGCGCCTCCCGCGCCGCGGGCTCCCGGCGCCCGGCGCTCCCAGAAGAGACACCCCTTCCCCTCCCGCCGCTTCCCTCCCCCTCGCCGCCAGCCCCCCCGCCCCTCCCCGCGATGCCCCCTCGGAGGGACCGAGGACTTTGCCAGGGGCCTGACTTTAATTTTTATAACCCCTTTCTTTCACAAATTAGGGTGCTGGACAATTACAGGACCCGACCCTCCACTCCACTCCCCCCAACCCTGTCACCCCACCCCTCCCCCTTTGGACGTGTTTTCACTCCAGAGACGCTCATCTTTAATTTCTTGATAGCTACTTTGAAAAGCGGAGGGGAGTGGTGTGTGCGAGTGTGTGTGCGTGTGCGTGTGCGAGTGTGAGTGTGCGAGGGGGGTGGGGTGCAGGGTGGGGGGAAAGTTGAGACCGGATCGTTCTCAGTAGTTTCTCTTTTCTCTGTGATCCATTCATTTCTCGCTCTACCTCCTGTTGCATAAAATGATGCGCTGAAGAGCGGCTTTTTTTTTTTTTTTTTTTCTCTTTCCCGGATTTGGTTTTACAGTGGATGTTACCAGTTTGATCGTCTCTTTGGAAATACAATATCGCTTTTTTTTTTTTTTTTTTTTTTTTTTTTTTTGCTATTGCTGCCTATTCCATCTTAAAAAAACAAAACCAAACCCAACCCAACAACAAGTCTCCCATCCCTTCCTCCTTTCCACCTTAATCCCACCCGCCCCCACGTCCCTACCCCCAACCCCCCAGTCTCCAAAAATCCGATTGTGTTTTCTCCAAGGATTGGGACTGGATTTTCTGATTGCGGTTATTTCCATGTTTCTAGGTTTGTGTGATTTTGCTAAAATGCATCACCAACAGCGAATGGCTGCCTTAGGGACGGACAAAGAGCTGAGTGATTTACTGGATTTCAGTGCGGTAAGAAAGAACGGTGGAAACTAACAACAGCTGTGAAAAAAACAAAACAAAAACCCAAACACTTCAGCTAGAAACCAGTAGGAATCCAAAGGACAGTAATAATTTTTAATTGGCTGAATCCTTGGTAAATATGAAGGTCTTTTTGACAAGTTTTTAACTATAATTTTGGGGTGTGATGGAAGATTCAGGCTTTTTGTTTTTTTGAGTTTTATTACCGGCCTTCAATTCCCGACCCACTGATTACCCCAAATAATGGAATCTCACCCCAGTGGAAAGCAAAAATAGACACCCCTAAAACTGTAAACCACCCCTAAAAGTTGGCCATGTCTGAACATTGAGACTACTTATACTTTGCACACTATTCTTCCTTTTATTTATTGTTTTTGGAAATGGCAAATAGAAAATAGGAGACCCAGTTGTCTCTTTAAAGTTTTAAGCTGATGATGCTTTGGATTAGTAGGACCTGTTAGTTACATCTTACCTCCTAGTTACATCTTTTCCTAGAATTCTTAAAACTAGTGTGGATATGCTGAGCATACGTTCTTTAGAACCTTTTGGACTGTTTTGGTAAATTTCGTAGTCGTGGCATCAGCACAAAGCGGAACTTAACACACTTGTGGAGTTTTACGGCTGTACTTGGTCCTTCTCCATCCCTCTGCTTCCCTTTCCTAAACCAAGTCCCAGACATGTCAGGAGAATGAATTCATTTTTAATGCCAGATGAGTTTGGTGTAAGATGCATTTGTAAAGCAAAATAAAAAGAATCCACAAAACACACAAATAAAATCCAAACCGCCTTCCAAGTGGGGCTCTTTCCTGCTGCTGCTGCTGCTGCTGCTGCTGCTGCTGCTGCTCCTCCTCCTCCTCCTTCTCCTCCTCCTCCTCCTCTTCTAGACCTTCTTTTGGAGAAATGGCTTTCGGAAGTTTTGCCAGGAAACGTAGCCCTAGGCAGGCAGCTTTGCAGCCCCCTTTCTGCTTGTTGCACTTTCTCCATTCGTTCCTTTGCTTTTTGCAGGCTCTGACTCAGGGAAGGTGTGCATTATCCACTAGATACGTCGAAGAAGAGGGAAACCAATTAGGGTCGAAATAAATGCTGGAGAGAGAGGGAGTGAAAGAGAGAGTGAGAGTGAGAGAGAGAGAGAGAGTTTTGCTTCCAATTGCTCTCCTGTTAGAGACGAAATGAGAATTTAGTGCAGGTGGCACTTTTATTTTTATTTGGGTTCACGTATGACAGGCAAATCCTATACGAGATGGAAATGGACATTGCCACGTTTATGGCCAAGGTTTCCAATATAAAACAAACAACTTTTTTCTTCTTCTTCGTGAAACTAGTATTTTTCTAGAGAGGCTGCTGGCCTCCAACCTGAATCTTGATAGCATTATGGGGACTCTGTTTGTTCCAAATGTAGTAGTTCTGCTTGGCCATCTAATGAACCTGAGGAAAAAGAAAGAACAGAGTGATAATGGGGGCTGGGGGTGGGATTTGGAATGTTGTTTCTCTTTTAGTTTTAAGTTGGATGGTGATGTATTTTACTAAATAAACCCTTAGCATAAACTCTAAGCTGTTTGGTAACAGTATGAAAGATCTTTGAGGAGCTCTGAAGGCACAAATGTCTTATTTTCAACTGTAATATTTCTTTGTTTCTTTTAGATGTTTTCACCTCCTGTAAGCAGTGGGAAAAATGGACCAACTTCTTTGGCAAGTGGACATTTTACTGGCTCAAGTATGTAAATTCTTTTCTTAGTGTGAAGTTAAATGTTTTTGGCTGTTTATTTACTCAATTATATGTTTTTGGCTCTGTTGAAGTGTTCTGAAAAAGTCATTGAATTTTAGCCTATAATGATATGGTTATTGCATTACCCATCAGTGGTATATCTTACACAAAATGTTATCTTGTGCAATTAAAATTAGGTCTTTTTTTTTAAGTCAAGGAAACTCTTTCAAAATTCCATCACTTAATTTAAAAGCAATTTTCTAATACAGTTGTAATCAAACACATAAAGATAAGACCAGTGTTAACATGGGGAATAAATTAATGTTTCCTATTTGAAAATAAGGGGGAAAAATCTCTAACATTCATAAAATGGGAAAATCCCTTGTAAATAATATCATTTATTAGGTACTGTATACAATTAACCCTTTTAAAGAAATGAACACTTAATTCTGCAAATGAATGCTATGTAGTAAACCATAGCTGTAAATAGCCTCTTGCTAATCTTAGAGGCTAAATATGAATTCATTTATATTTAAGATGCCCTTATTGATACTTTAGCTGTTTCTTTTCCCTAATGATTTGCTTGTGCAATGAATTTTTACTGTATTTAAAGTTGCAAATCTGGAAGGACTTTTACGTTTTATAAATGAAAGATCTTTGGGTGGTGCTTAAAAAAGACGCTAGCACTATTCACAAAGGAATCTGTGTGCACAGTGATTATCTGGCATCTAAGGAGGGGTTTATTACAGGGCTATTTGAATATCTCTTATTAAAAGTGCAGAGTGAAAATATACATTTAAAATGTATTTTTTTTTAATCCAATGAATTTCAAATAAGAAAAAGTTATACATCGTTGCCTGCTGTCCTTTAAGTCCGAGGCTTAAATCCATTTATGCTTGGTAAACAGCTGTAGTATTTTAGGAGTTTTGGCAATGGTATGTAACAGTACATTAGGCCGAGTACTGTTCTTAAGTCAGACTGGTAAATGTTGACGTCTTTTAGCTGTGAGATGCCAGTGGAATTGTCTGTCAACTATGAATATAATTTAACATCTCTTAATATTCGTTTGGTGCTATAGCAACGAAAGAAGTTTGGCCACTTATGTGATTTGTGTAATTGTTATATTTTTATAAAACTAATGGCTTTTAAAAGTTGTTCCTTTCCAAATAAGTTCCTTCCCCTTCTGTTGCCCACCTAAGTTTAGGGAATTTGTGTCTCTGTAACTTGTTTTAAAAAATGTGAGATGCCTGTTGTATTTTTATTTTAGTTTTTTGATACACATTGATTAAAAGGACCATTGACAGACAATATGTTTGTGTTTTACTATCCTGGAGCTTGTTATGTTTTCCACTTAGGGACTTGGGACAGTTTTTATATTAGTGTTATATCTTTAAATTTCTGTGTGGTATCCTCTATGCAACTTTTAAGATGGAAAATATGAATATGCATGTTTGACGTAAAGGTAAGGACAAGTATCTTTTGTGGGCAAATTAATTTTTCATGTTAGACAACATCAAAACTGTAACTATCTTTGACAGTATTTTTTTATGTCTTAACTTAAAAACGTGTATTCAGTTTAAATCTAAAAGTAGCTTATGTCAGGCACAGAGATAGGCTACTTTTAAAGTCAGTGCTAAAAAACTAGTTTGCAGTGTTGTGAAAACATACATTTATAATAAGTATGTTACTTTAGATATCATTTAATAAAGTAAGGTGTTTAGAAATACGAGATTGTGTTACATTTAAAAAGACAACTGTATGTCTGATCCATTTTCTATGTTCACATTTAAATAAAGTTCTTGTTGTGATGTTTAAATGTTTATAGAGAGTACAGGCTCCATAAGTTGAATATGTATTAATGCATTTTGGTAAGTGATCATGTATCAACACTTATACAGTTCTTAAGACAGTCTCTCTCTCTCTCACACACACACACACACACACACACACACACACACACACACACACAGGTTCATGCATGCAAACCTGGAGAGGGACCTCACTCTTAGTAAGTTATGTTACACTACTTCTAATGCATACACAGTGATTATTTTGAAGGTGTGGAACTTGAAGTTACATTGTACCAGAAGTGGTGTTTTCAGTACCAAATGTTTACTTGTAAGGGTAAAAAATGTAGTGGTCTTTTATTCTGGCTGTCTGATTGAGAATGCAGGGTATTAATTTCATGTAGTATGATGGTGATTATAATATATAAGGTACAGATTGGAGTGTTCAGTTTTCTTCTATCAAGATATATTTGAACACAGGGCTATTAGTTAAGAAAACAGGTTGTATTTCCACTTAAAAGAGTTAAATCTTTTTTAAAAGCATAACACATTTTAAAAATCATGAAAACTGCATTTTGCCCTTTAATTGGTAGGATCAACTAGGAAACTTTGGAGAGAGAAATAATTTTCTGAATTTACTTCAAGTTAATATCCATTGTCTTGAGTGGACTCAGATGTCCCTTTCATGGGTTGCTTTGAAACTTGGATTTAGGGAAAAAAAAGATCTCAAGTATAAGTAAACTGTTCCTATTTGAAAAATCAGCTATAGTTTTTCAAAGTGAGGCATGGCAATGATTCATGCTTAGAGTTCCCAATAGCTTTTGATTCCATTAATACAGGATGCTCCATAGTGATTTGCAATGTGAGAATAAAAATAAAGTGTGGCCATATTCCCTTTAATCTTTCATTTCACAAACATGGTTTTTCCTACCACCTTAAGAAATGGTGAGGCTGCTAGGGAGAATGGAATGTAACCTGAGCTACAGCCTGACATTCCCAGGGAGCATTTTTCACATGAAAGGCTTTTGTCAACCCAGGAAAGGACTAGCAGTTTTTGTTTGATGTTTGCAGGTGTTCAGCAGAAAGCACTAAAACAATTCAGCCATGATGGTTCAGAGCTTCGATGACCTTAACAGGGAAAATTGGTGGGCTCTGGAATTATTTTTAAGAAATAGTTGTAACCTATATGGTAACTTAAACAAAGGGATTTAATATCCGTTATATCATTGATCTTAAAACAAACTAAAAGCATCCACATGCCTGGATGATTGGAAAGTTATTCTCATTGAAAAGTAGGATGCCTAAGTTACCAAAAAAAGAAAATCATGTAAACAGTCTATAAGTTATTGATGAGTATGGGCTTAATTTTCTGATATAGCAGAAGGGCAGTTTATTTGGTTACCTTTGACTCCTGTGAGGAAAAGATAAACATACTAGCTTTGGCATCTTTTGAAAAAGTCATTTTAAAGTTGGGCCACTAAAATGATGTATTCTAAAGAACTTGTTAGATCAGGCCTGGTCACATCTGTTACATGTATTTACTGCAGGTCTATGACAGATACTACATCTTTCTCCGTTAGTTTAAAAGTTGAGCTTTTTCCCCTGTAATTGTTTAGTTTTACTGAAGTGTTCAGGTATTGTGAAAAGATTGTCAAATGAACGAGTGTTTGAACCAGAGCAGCATTATAAAACACACCACATCTCTGTAGTGGGTCATTTTTGGAAGAGGAAAGTATTGCCTGAAATTTATGTAAGTTAGCTAACCTATATCCACATGACACAAAAATGATATGCCAATTCAGTGAATTCATTGAGGCGGAAAAAAATCAATCCGGTGGGTAGTTTTGTATGATACAGAAAATTCACATGGTCACATCCTGAATTAATTTTGAGTTCATAGTGATGGCATGAAAAAAAAAATTGGTTTCCCCTTAAAGGTATTTGTTGAGAGCTGCTTAATATTGTGTGTGTGTATATAAGTGAGTGAAAACACCCTTAAGATCATAAATGGTATAATTCATAAGGGAGCTGTGGCTTTTTGTAAAGGGCAGAGTAATTTAACAGGTTAAAAGAAGTACAGTGGCATTAAACCCATTATGTTAGAATCATAGAATTTTGGGCATAGAAACCCGTTAGAAATGTTGCCCAGTGCCTTCATTATTACAGGCAAAGAAAACTTGAGGCCCAAGATAAGGAGTTCCAAACTGTGCTTTTTTATTTGTTATTTTAAAAAACAAGTTTTTATTTGCTGATTCTCTATGGCCCTGCAAATCCTTTATTGGAAATAATCGTGGTCTCACTGCTGTCTTTCTGTCATTTGTACTACATAATGGGGCATGAGGATTAGTGTGCTGATATTTGTGCATATAAATGCTTCTGTATGTGCATGTGCTTTCTGAAAACTTTTTTTAGGTTTGGAGCTGAATTTTGGATTATTGATCATTCTCTTTTGCCTGGTCTTCCCTGTGACTGTTTTGCATGATGTTGCGTAAAATAATAGTGTGGGTGAGCATGTCATAGTGCTTCTCAGTGTGTTGGAGAGGTGTGCTGTGTACCTTATACCTGTTGTATTTTTTAAATCCTCAAAAGAACCTAGTGAGATCCAAGGATTACTACTATTCTGTATTCATAGCTGAGGAAACTGAGACAGATGTTAAACAACTTGATCTTAAGGTAGCCAATAATGAAATTAGGTTTTAACCTCAGGTTTGTCTAGCTCAAAGTCCTGAGTTCTACCCACAGACACACACACACACACACACACACACACACACACACGTCAGACAGCTCATTTTTTCAAGATTATATAGGCAAACAATGTGATACTGAGGTTTGGCATGAAATATTATCCATGATCTGTAGGGTAGATAGCATTTTAAAAAACATACCTAATGTAATGATGTAAACCATACCCATTATTTTTCTTGCCTTTGTATCCAAATAAGCTACCCTTCTAATTTATGACAGATTTCAATGTGACTAAATATGTCTTTCTCCTATCTTTATTAGTTTTACCAAGAAAATACAGTAGATATTTAAAAAGTTGTGCTTTCATTCTATTGTAAGTTGATAGTCTACGTGGATGCCAGTGAAAACATGTTTTTATGTAGCTAATCAATTCAGAATTTGAGGTAACCAAGCCTGATGTATTAATATATAAAAAATAAGGATCTCTTGTCTTTAAATAGAAAAAAGTTTTGCAATTTGTTGTTAGATCTTTGA